TATAAAATCTTAAAATATATTGCTAAATTTTACGCTTTAATGTTAACCCCATTATTTAAAATGAAAGATTCAGTAACGAATGTCTTATTATTAATAAGTTATAGTTTATCACTTTTATACATTGAACTGTGATTAGATTTATTTTACAATAATGTATTACCTTTACTATGTACGTTGGAAAAGACTTTTCTCCTAAGTCACGTCAAATATCACGTGACTAAATTGTCAACTTATATAACCTTGGCCTTGTGCTAAACCACTGACGAGTTAACCACTATGAGCAGCCTTATTAGTTCTCCTTGCTTTACCCTGCTTTTTGAGTCCAGAACACAGTTTCAGCTTCCAATGTATCAATCATGTATTTCAGACACACGCAGTTTATATACAAACAAATCAGACCGTATCATACAAGATTAAGCCAATATTGTTTGTGAGTGTGAAACTGTAACTAAGAATTTGGGAGTAACTTGAAAATAGTAAATTGTGTGATAGTAGTCTGTAGGTCAAATGGAAGTTTATAGTAAAAGGAATATGAATATACATATAAGATGGTTACTTAATAGTTATCAAATAGGAATACATGCAATAACAGTCCATAAATAATTCCTAGTAGTCACCATTCATTTATTCTTTGTTAGGATATAACAGAAATTACTTTGTTAATTTTTAATGTTAGTTTTTAAAGAATATGAAATCTTTCTTTTAATTCGTTTTACTCATCACCATTGACTTTATAATTGCTGGTGAATAACATAAATTTATGGATGGTTCTATAATTACTAATGAATTATATACTTTGTACGAACGTTCATTGAACAGGTAACAATAACATACTGACATTTAAAAAAAAATTTAAATACTTGTATAGTGACCATACATTACAATGAATGAGAAACTTCAAATGTATTTATCTCATGAATACCTCAATAAAACCATCTTAAGCTGAACTATTCTACGATTTGGACAGTTATAAACTTTAGAAAACATTAGACTGATGAAATTTATCTTCTTGGAATTATCATGAAAAAGCAGAAATTAAAAAATTAAAAATATAAACTTCTGATTGATTTGTTAATTATTATGATTTCATAACCCTTTGTTTATAATATTTAAAGAAAATGATCCCTGAACCTGTAATAGTGATTTCACAATTCCGTATCGTTGTTTAAAAAAAATGATTTTATGGGTAACATTTTGGATTTTATTTGTTTTTTTACAAACTTACCTATACACATTTATTACATATATTCCTGAGATGTATTGTTATATTATTGTTAGAAGGCTGACAGACAATCCAACGACTGTACTACACTTGGAATTCCAACATCGTAAACTACAATATAAACATCAATTTATAATTTGTCGTAAATGTTTTTCGTGATCTGGATGAAAGTATGGCTTATGTTTACGCACAACAATAATTCTCTGACAACCAATGTTTCTAAATGACACAAAATGTCTAGGCGAATTTCTCTCTCAAAACACTGTGGTCCAAAATAAGTTATGAAATATATTTATGATCTGAAAATATAAGAAAGCAGATAATTACAAACATTTATCAGATAGTACTAGTTGTCATTGGCAAAACATAACTGCATAAGTACTAATAAGTTCTTTTCTACGATAAAATTAGATCTTTTATTTTCGAAAACTTAATTTTATGTAACAGGGTGAATTAAATCATGAATGGATTGGGAATGTTTGGCTGCCTAGTCTTGGGTTAACCAGATATAGGTCATCATTTATGGAGTGTCTTGTCGATGCACGTATGTTAAGTCATTTAACCAAGCGGGACTTGAGGGTACATCTAAAGATGGTTGATCAATTTCATCGTTTAAGTTTATACTATGGGATAATGTGTCTCAAGCGCCTGGATTACGATCGTTCTGAGATTGAACGCCGACGTGAAGCATGTCAAAATAGTTTAAACGGTTAGTGATACAAATGTATGCATTTTAAACTTCTAGAATCATTATATCTATTCTTCTTCATATATACATTTCTATGAGTCGAAAAATGTTTTTGTTTATTAAGTTTAACATTTAAATATTTGCGAAATATGTGCATCACATTTTCACTGTACCTGTGTTTGCACAAATCTAGGTTGATGATAAGAACAAATTCCAGATTAAATGTTATTTCTTCACTCTATGTACATAGATGACGTAAGAATGTGAGTATTTTTTAGAACAATAAATAAATATTCCCTATGTAACATAGATGTGTTGTGATTTAACCACCAGTTGTGTGAACTACTTTAAGAAACAATCAAGGCAAAAAAATAAGCATACCACATTATGTTATGTGTAATACATTGAAAATATTGATAAATCATTAATTTTATTTAGAAATTTAGTCAAATATTTCATACAAACAAATCCCTTAATTAACTGTCGCGAGGCAGTTACTCACTGAAGAAATGGTGGACGACTAAGTCATATCGTGGATTGGTTGAAGTTAGACATTAACACCGTTGGATGCCGGCTCAGCGGTCTAAAAGTTAAGTGTTCGCCAACGCGACCGAAGGTCCTAGGTTCGAGTCCCGAGTGCGGAACCGTGGGTGCGCACCGCCTGAGAGTTTTATATAGTTCTATATATTCCAGGTTCTCCATGGTAGTCTAGCTTTAATCAGTTCATAAATTCAACTATTAGAGTGATTATAATAATAACTAATTTCAGGTTTAGTGAAGCTGATTAGAAACCGTGAAAACCTTGTTATTCCTGCTTTATATTTGCTTTACTTGACTTTACTTCCTTGCAGCCGTACGTTCCTTATGAATGTGTTCAAAAAACTTTTTATAAGCCCTTTTGTTCTTCCTATGTACTTACTACGTCAGGTACCTGTAAATTCATAAATGCGATTGTATGTGACATCGGAATTTTAATGGTCTATCTCTGAATGATATAATCAGGAATTAGTGTTGTATAGTGAAACCAGCTGAGAGGCGAGGAAGTTTACAAGTACCTGATGTAGCAAGTACATATGAAAAACAAAGGGATTATACAAGGTTTTTTGAACACATTCATAGGAACGTACGGCTGCAAGGAAGTAAATTCTTTACAAGTTCAATCGCCAGACATCTTTTGGAAAGTGGACAAGAAGTAGATTTAAGTAATGCATTTCAAATAATTGCCAGACAAAAAGCACCAATCTTGCTCCGTTTGGTAGAGACGGTTGATATCATACGTTTCCGACCTGACATATGTATACAGAAGGAAAGCTTGATTAGCCTCTCTCTGCATTGGTGATAATTGTAGATATTTGTCTAATCATCCTACACTAAGCCGCAGGGACACAATGCGAATCCGACCTGAAATGCTAATACGAGCAAGCGGGCAAATACAGAGGCTTAGTTTGAGTAGAGTGAATTATCAAGATTCAAACACATACATGTGGGAAAGCGAATGATTCATCGGTCAATTTAAGCAACTAATATTTAAGCTAGTAAGAGGGACATGTGTTCAGACTGTAGCTCATGATCAGGCATACAGACATAATAATGATAAGACAAAGATAAACATAATTAATACTTTTCGAATGACACTGTCTGTTCAATGAGTTAATTGTTGGGCTTGGCAAAATTAAAGGTAAACATACTTGAGTGTAGGTGAGGTGCTTTAGCTTTATACCTCATAACTATCCTTATAACTTGGAGGTAACAAAAATCAACACAACTCTATTCAGTAATATGCTAATATTTAGTAGTATTGTTAGTAAAATGTCTCAAAAAAGCACTTATTTTAATTACAGATTTACTTGTCTGGAGTAATGATCGAGTTATTGTATGGCTTAAAAGTATAGGTTTGAATGAATACGCCAAAAATTTGATTGATTCTGGTGTACATGGAGCTTTGATGGTGTTAGATCCAGATTTTGACGCGAATTCATTTGCTCTTATCCTTCAAATACCTAATTCAGATGTACAAATGAGGTTTGTGGTGATGTTTTATTCTAAGTTAATGAAATTTATCTCAGCTAAACAAACCTAAATTAACTGCTTTTATTTAACTCTGCCCGTCAGCCGATAGGAGTTTGTGAACCCGTCAACTAAATAAGTTATATCTATTCGAACGTCAGTTTATCACTCTGAAGCCAAGTAGGAAATTGTATGGATATCTACTCCGTCCACATTGTTATCCATCACATTATCACAATTAAAAACGAAATTATGATGTTATAGTAAAGGAATCAAGATACTGATTTGAATAAAGTTTTAAAGCAAAGCATAGTATATATAAATGTACAATATATTCTATTCATATTTTTACACCAGGAACTGGTTTGGATCGGACAATCATTAGAATATAGGTAACAATCAAAAGGCATCTCGTCCTAGTAAGGAAAGCCTCATCAGTGCCAATACTCCAAACCATCATAGATTGAACTCTGTATCTACAGGCCTCTCAGTAATCTCAAACATTTAGAATATTGTGTTAACACTCATTGGTTCATATCTAAAACTAGTTAATTCACAAATATTCAAAGAAAAACCATTTTTCACCATCGGTGATATTGATCTCATTCTAGATATGATGTGACTCTACGAGACTCAACATTCTGCACAACCTCTCATACTAAAAGATCATATCCTGACTAATTTGGGAAGCTAATTTATAGTTTTAATGAGGAGCCCTGATTAGTAGAGTTTAAACGTAACAGGGAGAGACCGGATTTGTCAACAAGAAAGTATGTTTCATAAACAATCATAATGAACTAGAAATATAAATCGTAAAAAGTTGATAGCTGTACCATTAATTGTAAGAATAATAGTTGAAAAGATAAGATGACGTAAACAAAGTTGATGCAAACTACATAACAAGTATTGAGTGAATGAACAGCCTTAATATACTAGTAGCAAAGAAGAAACTTGACATGGAGAAAAACAAGTAAAGTGTAGAAATAGTAAAATCGTCCACTACATTATCTCTCCCACTAGGAGTGGCGTTGCCAGAATTTTTTTTTGTGTGTAAATAATCGGTCTACATATATATCAACAGAAAGCAAGAGATATGTAATATATGAGGACAAACCAAGCGAACTGTTTTTAGTGATTTTTTCACCTGAATTTGATAATTTAATCATGAAGTCTTCGTTACGTTTCTAAACATTGTAATCGATTTTGCCCCTTTAAAAAAGTAAATTACTATAAATTCTCCATAATTGATTAACAGCTTATTCTGTGAACATAAGGTTTTATTGACTGTTGTTCGTAATCACAGTTTCACTGTTGACATATCTGTGTGTATTACCTTTTCCTCTGACTTAATTTATGGTTAAATGTCTTACTTAAACGGAAATTTTCATTAAATAGAATGTATTTTGATAAGAAGAGATGAAATGGAAGAAAAAGATATACAAATTGGAGTTAATCATAAGACAATTGTTAACTACAATTAATTTGTTTCTACTGGGATTTTAATTAAACCATACGATTGTACATCAAGGTTAAGCAACTAAGTTGGTTTGATACGAGAGAGTTTGAACTGTTGAGAACCTAAGTACTAATATGATAGTGTATCGACTGAAGTAGTCGGTTATAAACAATGATTAAGTTCAACCGCTGTCTTTTTTATTGAAGTTAAGTTCAATGAGTAGTATATTATTATTAAGTTAACAAATTTGTGAGAAAACATGCATCATTTCGCACAACCTGTAATTTTTCTCAGGCATTAAGAATTTGTGAACGGTTGACAATTATTTAAACAGAATAGAAGAACCAGATTCTCAACTAACTGTTTTAAAAAAAATTACTTGTTACAGGCATAAACTTGAACGTGAACTCAACAGACTTCTACACCCGTATCGATCAGTTAATCAAAACACTTCGATGAGACCTTCCGATTCAATCATGAATTATGATACGGCAGCAAGTTGGATTGCTTCTGTAGAACGTCCAGAACCAGCATATTATGAAAATCAATTTGAAATAAGTGATGAATTAGGTGGTGAGTCATCTTACAGACCTGGCACTCAACAACAAAGACATGGAATCAACAGGAATATTGTACCTATTTCGGAAAGTTTAAATGGAGCTCCACCTATTCCTATACGAGCGCAAAGAAATACAGACAGACGATACCCTACGTCTACTTCACAGTTAACTGTTAATTCTCAGAACCAACTTCCTTTGAATGCCAATCTCAACCGTAATCTTCAATATCGAAATGCAGGTACGTGTGATGACAACTATTCCTTCCTACAGAATGAAACATCACAACTAGAAAGAAGATTGAAGAAAAATTGATATTAGTAAGTTTTTCAAATAAATGATGTACTTTATATGGTGTCCACTTTGTTTATTCTGCTAGGTATGTGGTCGTTTACATCGAATAAAAAATTGTTGAATTTGTTGAAAGTTTTTTATGTATTGTTACAAACATTGTGTTGCCGGGACCCGTGATTTACACAACCCAAGGGAGAAGACAAGCAAATGATGAGCATTTATTATACCCTAAAAGCGAATTAAAACAATAAATGGACACACTTATTTTTATTTCTTTGTTTAATTCAATCAATAGTCTGGTTGGATTATTGAAATGGAAACTTCAAGTTAATTAGTCAGTGGTTTACCATCTGAACATAAATTTATTATACCATAAGATTTAAGACTATAACTAACATGTATAACTAACTTGATTTGCTATACTATTGCTTCTTAAAATGTAATTACATGTCATAGACAATTGGCGAAAATCAATTTAGCAGATCATCTGTACAAAAATCAATCCAAACCTAGCTGATCATATCGCAATGCTATCATGTTTTCAAAAATTGAAAAGCGGAAATCAGGACGTAAATAAATCTACCTTCAAAGAGTACTAAAACATACAATAAACCAAATAAACTATAGTGAAACTGTTTTTTATAGATATTTCAAGACGAAAATGCAAAGAATATCATAACTTGACGAAGTTTAGTCAAATCAAAAAGATGTGTTGCAAAAGATAATCACCAGATGAGAAATACGAATCTAATTTACCCCGCATATATATACCGTGATTCAACGTCTTAATGCCCTACTTCAACCAATCCACGATATTGCGCGACCATTTTCCATTGTCTTCGGTGCGTAACTGCCTCAAATTCAGCCATTCAGTGCTTCCAAGTTTTTAATGGTGGTATAAGACTGGTTGGTTCGTAATCATATAATTGATACAGTCACTGTCAATAGCGTTTAGTCAATAATCAGTTTGTGACATAAAAACAACATTTTTATTGATGTCCTTATTAGTTAGACCATAATTTTGCAGTTTGTAAGTCTATAAGCTCACCACCTAATAACCCGTAAGCTTGTAATATTATTTCTAATCAAAAATACTTTAGTTGTATTTTTATTATACTCAGATAACCGACAAGATGTTATCTCTGATTATTCAAGAATCGTAAACGACATCCTTAAATCAGTTTCAGTAATACGTTTTAACTACTGAAACATTTTTAAGTAGTATATCTTTCACTTCCTGACACAAATCACACTGAAGATATTTCCCCTATTAAACTAATCATTGTTCTGTGGTAGATAATCTAACTAAAATAACATTTTGCTGCTGTATAAGTCAAACGGGACAGATTTGCTTTCAATATTGATCGATGAACTTAACAGGTTTCTACGTTTCTTGGTTAGTAGATAAATATAGTAATAATAATAATAATGATAATAATAATAATAATAATAATAATAATAATAATAATAATAATAATAATAATAATAATAATAATAATTGTAGATTCACACTGTTGGTTTGATAAAAGTAATGAGCTTTGATAAATCGGTAAATGACTGCCATCTGCTTATATCCAGTCATGATAAGGAAAGTGACATAAATTGCTCAAACAAAATGAACTCAATAATGAAAAGTTCATCAAGTATCTGAAAACATTAATTATAACATAAAACATAAGCCATTATCTTCAAAAATCGTTAGGAGTATAGCAAATTTTTATTGACTCCATTTGATTCAATTCTTTGAACTAGACTTTGGTTACTCTGTAAAATTGAAAATGGTGACTATCTTATCATTTAGGTTTATCGTTCAAGTTCCGCTATTATATTACAATCATGTAAAAAAAGAATTCCTTGTTTTAACCTATATGCAATAATTACCTTAACTTATATACGTATACCTATTTAAATGACTAAACATTAAACCTGTAAAATAAAGTTTTTTCTTGAGAAATCTACCCCTTTTCATTACTTGAAATTCATGCATATTAGATATGTAAAACTGTTAAAATTGTTCACACTTGCATCATGATATTTGTCATAATAATAAAATGAATTTTGTTGGATTATTACATCAGTACTTGTTTTTTTGTTCCAATCATTTCTCATTAGGTATGAAATTATAATCATTGAACCAACCTGTAAACTATTGCAATTTGAAATTATATTCTTTAATTGAATTAAAATGTATAAATTCATCGAATATTCATTGATGTTTTCTTTATATGACTACAATTTTACAATTGTCATACAACAAAATCATACATTCACAATTAATTATCATTCCTATAATATATTATGTAAAAACAAAACCGATGCGATGTGAAACATGAATGATTTTAATTAAATAAATATTATTTATTATTATTATGATTATTATTATTATTATAAACATATGGTAAATGACAGCATAGTAACTGTATAAACTAATTAAGATGATAATCAATATAATAAATTCATTATGAAACAATAAATGAAATTCTGCATATTAACAAAAAAAAGAACTAGAATATACATAATGCCGGATTGTTTCACAAATAATCTGCATTCAAATATTTGTAAACAATAAACTATCTCTTATGATCATGTAAAAAAAAAGAAAAACAAACTATTCAAATTATTACGTAATTGTGCATTTCACAAAATCTATTTCTATTTTTCAAACATTTTTGATGAATACATGTAAAAATTTACATAAAATTAACTATTTTTTATTTTGATCAGAAACTTTACTTTTTTTTAAAGTTATTTATTTGTTTGTTTCTTTTTTGTTTTGCTTTTGAACTAAATTCACTTATTATTGATTAATTAATTGATTGATTGATTAGTTGATTGATTGATTGATTAATGATTACAATTATAGACTTGATAAATAGAAAGTATACAATGAAATGAAAATATTTTATTTTTTTTTCAAATTTGTCAAATTAACCTGTTAATTATTATTATTGTTATAGTTATTGACAATATTCAATTAATTCATAGACATTATAGTCATTTAATGAATTACTTAATCTATCACTCATATTATTTGTCTTTATTCAATAAGTGATAATATTTATTATAAGATTCATACAGATCATTCCTATTGAATTTGACTCTTCTTTATATATATTATATACAATAATCATGAATTCAATGCATTTCAGTGTCATTATGTAATGAGAAAAAAATTGGACCAAATAATTTACTTTAAACAATTTATATGCTTGTACAAATATGACAACAAAATGGCGTTTGAATTGATTTAGTATTCAGTGTGTTCAATGCATTTTAAAGTATTGCCCATAGATGATATGAAAATATATTTTATTTTCAATGTTACATTGAATTGTACAACGTCAACATATATATAATTATTTTATTATATTTTAAAAAAAGAAACGAAATAAAAAGGTATTTTCAATAAATAATTGGTGTTTCCAAAATTGTTAATGAAGATCAATGTTTATTTGTGTGTAGAAACTATATTATGCGTAAAAAAACAAACATACATTCCCATATTTTAAGTTTTTGTTAGTGTACGCAGTTGAAATATAATATGATTACATCTCAGTCCTACAGGAGGTCGGTCGAGGCCCGGATAGCTCAGTGGTATCGTCTCTGACTGTGAAGCTAGGTGACTCGAAATCGAATCCCCCAGGGAGCACCAGTTTCCTCAAGATTACAGATACACCTTGCTGACGAGTGCCAAGTAGCACGAAACCCGGGTCCAGGGTTTCCTGTCGACTACCTTCAAATATCATCTAATCTCAATATAAAGTGCACGCAGTGTCGAATCACCTGGACTGGTGGCCACATTGCAACATGATCTATAGCATTCGATCTGCACTAAATAAAGACTTGACACACATGATATTGATCACCACCCAGTGATCGATCAGTTGTGAAATTAATATTTCATTGTGTTTCATTGAAATGTAACTGAATAAAAAGCAAATTGGATTTAATAAACTGATATAATCTGGAAAAGAATAAGTGAATAAATAATTTAAGATTAACTATTCAAATATGAGTATCATACTACATTATTCAATATTGATGAAAATGATGACATTCACTTCATAATTTGTAAACTTTAACATGAAAATTCAAATTAATTTTTACTAGTTCAGCAAAGTTACATTTTTCAACTTTCAACAATGTAACTTTCTTAGTTGATCTTTATGTATCATATCTCAGCTTCAGAATTATAATTTGCAAACAGAAAACTCGATAGATAATGACAAAGCAAAATAATTTGATGATAGTTACTATACATGATGAAAGATATACATATAATACACTTTATAAATACTGTACAATTTCATAAATTCGGTAGGTTTAAACAGAACACGAATAAAAGTAGTTATAGAATAAAATGAATTTTTTTCTCCTTCATCATGTCATCTGTAAACTTGCTAAAGCCGCAATAAGTAGTATTATTTGAAATAAAGCTTTTATATGTTTAATTTAATGATGTTGAAATAGAAATTCGAAATGTGACAGAAAAAAACCTAATAACAGGAGAAAGACACTAATAAGCAGATTAAGATTTATAAGCGTATAAATGTTAAATATCATACACAAACTTATTTATTACCCACCAGACATGATCATTTGCTGATTTGATTTTGTCCTGGTTATGGCCATCGATCTTTACCATAGACATTGGTAGAAATGAATTTCACTTTCTTACTTTGAATAACTATATTTTCAAAAAGTAAGCAAACATGAAGCTGAACTAGTATTCTTTAAAATAATCCTTCGATTTTTTGTTACTGTTATGGTTTTCTGTTTCATTTCAAATATCATCCATGTTAACTTCATTGACCAAAACATGTCAAACCTTCGTTCCCAATCATATTATTATCTGTAATTTTGGGCCATTGGTTGAAGTTGAGATATCTTGGAACTATAATGTGCCTAATAATTTGTGTCTAATTTACTCACAGTTAAATTAATAAGCTTTAAGCAAAGAATAATATTGTTTACTTGTACAAATCTGTACTAAAGAAATTGTACATGAGTTTAGTACGGTCGCTGTTGCAGTAAATATTCTTGACATGACAAAAAATAATATGTGAAAATTTATACAAATATCAGAAACTATGACAAAGATAATAGACTTTTCAAATAATTTAATTATTTACTTAGCTTGTTATCATTCAACCTGACTTTTGTTTGAAACTGAAACCTGAATCTTTCATTATAGTTGTTTGGTTAAAATATTATTACAAAAGAAAACATCAACTTTTACGTTCCTTGGCTGACTGTGATCTAATGATTCAACTTCTGTAAAGTTTTATACAAACATCTTCATATTATTTACGTGATACACCAATGTATATGTACATACACTCGAAAAATTCAGCTAGATTGAAGACTGAAATGAGTGAGTTATACATATCTCCTTACTAATATGGATTGATATTAACTGACTCTAGCAATAAAATGTGATAGTCAAAAGAAAAAATGATTAAATTAACTTTGTTTTTGATTGAAAAATTAATTTCACAACTAGATCTTTTTCTTAAACTATTAGCATATCGATTTGATCAGAAGATAAATCAATAAAAATATGATTAATTTTACAAAATTCTACAATTTTACGTTTCATGAGTGAGCTAAAGATAAGTGAAGCTTTTGCAACACAAACTGATAACTAGAACAAAATCTGCCACCAGTCAAATAGACAATTGAATACGTAGATGAATTTCTTGTTACCCTCGAGATAACAAATTGTAATTGTTTTAAATGTATATTATAGAAACGCATATTTACAAATATTTTATGCAAATATGAGTATTGAACTGTTGGACTACATTTTCTGATAATATTCCCCCCCCTCTTTCATAAATTACTACACTAGAATTAAATTGTTTAACAAAATGGTTTTTAAATTCCCAGTAGGAATTTACGGTCTGAAGAATAGTTGTGAACCGGAAAAAAGGATAGTAATATTATTTCTGGCTTGACAAATGTTTTGAATAGTGATTGAACGACTGATAGTTGAATATTATTCTGTAAATTCTTATTGTTTCCAAATAACTTCTATCAATTTTAAGTATAAAGTGAGATATCAATCTTCATGATTTATAACGTTCAAATTCAATAATCAGTTTACGAACTAATTATAAAACAATTAAAAAGTTTTCGAAAACAAAGAACGTTCTGAAATTTGACTTCATTATAGTTGAATCATTGGAAACCTTAGCTTGTATAAATTAGTAAGGTTACTGAAAATGAGGTCAGGCACCTAGTTTCCTCTGTAAAATTCAACCGAATGATTGTTTTCCTTAGAAACTGTCTAAGATTTTTCGGACTGTTTGCTAAACTGTTCAGTTAATAAAACACAATTATTATCATCAAAAAGTTTTATATAAATAAAACATTCTCCAAACAAATATAAATGTGGGTTTTTGCGGAGATCGTAGTACTTTAAAGGTTGAATATATATGAGTTGATTGAAGCTAGACCACCATGGAAAACCTGGAGGCACTGGATGCTCGTTTTGTTTGATACCGGCTCAGTGGTCTAGAGGTTAAGCGTTCGCTCTCGAGACCGAAGGTCCCGGGTTCGAGTCCCGCGTGCAGGACCATGAATATTTTGACGATACTTCCGCAACTCTGGATCTGAACAGAAATGTAAAGTAGAAATTTATTATTATCAAGTTATTTATCACTATCATTTGTGCAGGCAGCCATCTTTTATTATTTGCTAATTGGTTCGTAGTGACTGTTTGAAACCTTTGTGAGGTTCCCATATTTCAATACTTTCTACTAATTTACTGAGTCAGTTTGCACATGTAGAGAGCGTAATTTCAAACGAATTGGCCAACAATTTAGTTAGGATTGACCTTCATTATTAGGCAAAAATCAAACAAACTCAAAACACATCAACTTTTAATCACATTTTGTCAACAATGGTTATCTGGTGAATAAGACTATAACAGTCAGTTTCGTTTTATCCATTTAAATGCATTAAATTACACTGCTTGTTCACAGACTTCATCAGTTAATCTTACGTTAGTTTTAAAGATTATTAATCTTAATGAATTCCTCTAAGTTAATAAATGCTGAAATATTTTCTTTATCATACTGCTATATCTTCATTATTCTTATATTTACTATTAAATCTATAATAATACAATAAGTTATTATTGCCTAATTATTATGATTAGTTTTACAGTCTGTTGTTGCCCGACAAATAAAATTGATTATTTTAGTGTTTTATGTATGTGTTGCTCAACGATGGTATCTAGATTAATTCAGTGCTGCCTCCTAACCGTAAAGTCTGGTTGCATTGACATCTGAAAATGAGATGATTTTATGAATGAAAAATACAATGACTATTAAAAACCAATAGAAATGAATAATAATCTTTCGATATTCCACTACGGCATTACATTCAAAAACGTTTTCAATAAGTTGGAGAAGCATTTTCGATAATAAATCAATTTCCAATTTTATTGTTAAATGAATGACTTTCTAGTTTGGTGTTTTTTCTCATCTAAAGTAGTGCTGTATAGTATAATAAAAGGAATTAGGAAACTTGCTAAATATAACGTTTGGAAATTTAGTATATAACCATGAGAATACATAATAATTTAGAATAAATTTCGTCTAAGCAGCCAATCACTTATTCGGGAAGTAAATGTATATCACCATTGAGTAAATTACTAAATGAACTGGATTTGTTGACTTTCTGTCTTAAAATAAGGCCAAATATACACACTACAGAAGAAGTTGTACCAGGTTCTAGGTATCAGGACAATATTCAATATTTTTTCAGCTAATTGAGCCTCTTGAGTTTAAAATAGACTGTGGAAAAAAGGAACGGTGATGAATAACATCTATGGAAAAGTCATCATTGGGTTAAACTGGAATTTTTCTCGACATCTGTTTTTATATAAATTTATTATAAAAGAGAGTTTAATTTAATTCTTTTACTAATCAAGCTGTATTTTGTATCCAATTGTATTTCTCAAGTAAAAGGTCGGACAATTTGCTAGAGGCAAGTTGATATAATGCAAAATTGAAAGATGAACCGTAATATATACATTAAGATATATTAAAATATCAATCCATTGTCAATCTGAGTAATGACCTTTAGTTTCAATAATATTACATTGACCTCATGCATAAATAAAGATATTTTCGTTATTTTCATCTGTGAAATAAAATAGTGGTATAAAATATGTAATGTGTTTAAACTGGTCATCTGGATAGTGGATAGTAGTGGAATCCAGAAAGCAGGTCTCAGAACTCATCACATGAATGTATTTATATACCAGTTTAGATGTTTCCATGAAGAATCGACATACGATACCCATCTCATTAAAGCTCTTTAAATTCGACTGCTGAGTCATAATAACTACCAACTTGTGCAACATTTACGACATTTACTATTAATTAAGGATTTCCACTTTCTCATTCTTTCTTCAGTGATCCATTCAGCTTCAAAAGTCATGATATTTAGTGTGGAATCTGAAGTCTTGTCAATTAGTGTTAAAGTGAAAAACGTTAACAATAAACCAACTAATTGCCGACTATCCTTCGGTAGGGCCGAAATGTTTGTATTACTTGATCGTTTTATAGAGATGCAAATAAATATAATGAAATCAGACAACAAAATTAGGAATAAGAAAAATTAACAAATAGAGCTGTAACTGGAGATCAATAACTATGGTATTTAAGTAAACTACTGAATAAACAAAACTATCCTTATTTTTCAGTAAATTACTTGCTTTTTAACCCCCTCCAGTTCAGAAAAAACCTTTTCAATTGTTTCCAACCGTTATTCATTCTACTGATGTCTACTCACAATTCCCGATGCAGTGTGTCCCGTCTTAATCTCTTCCATTTCCACTCAAGATCCCGAGCTACCGCGTACCTCCTGATGCAGTTTGAGGATTTGCGTGATTTATGTCCTATCCATTTCCATCGTCTTTTCCAAATTCCCTCTTCAGCTGGAAGCTGGTTTGTTCTCCCCCACAGTAGGCTGTTTCTGATGGTATCCGACCAATGGATGTTGAGTATCTTGCTTAGACAACTATTTGTAAATACTTGTACCCTCTTGATGATGGTTGTGGTAGTTCTCCAAGTTCCAGCTCCGTACAGTAGAACTGTCTTGATGTTCACATTGAATATTCTGACTTTGACATCGGTTGACAGTCGTTTTGAGTTCCATATATTCTTCAACCGTGGGAATCCTGTCATTGTTTTGCCTTTTTGTCTGCATCTGATCCTCCTTGTTCATCGATGATGCTTCTTACCATCTACGTAAAACTTTCCAACTCTTTCAGAGCTTCTCCATCAAGTGTGATTGTGTCGGTGTTCTCCGTGGTGTATTTGAGGATCTTGCTGTTTCCTTTGTGTATGTTGAGGCCTACTGATGCACAGGCTTCTGCTACACTGGTCGTCTTGACCTGCATTTATTGGTGTGGATGAGGTAGAAGGGCTAGATCATCCGCGAAGTATAAATCGTCTAGTTGCATCCAACCTATTCATTGAATTCCATGCTTCCCTTCAGATGTCAAGGTCTTCATAATCCAGTCGACTACCAGATTAAGGAGAAAGGGATAGAGTAAGCAAACTTGTCTGACTTTGCTCCTTACTTGGAATGCATCTGTCAACTGTCCTTCATTCACACTTTTGTGCCGTAGTGCGTCGTTTGAATTCCGGATGATTTTGACGATTTTCTCAGGTGCTCTATCGTGTCGAAGTTTCCGTAGTGTTTTCCTATCCAGACTGTCAAATGCTTTCTCATAGTCAAGGATGTTGATGTATTGTGACGAGTTCCATCCAACTGATTGTTCAGTGATGATCCGCAGTGTCGTAATTTGGTTTGTGCACGACTGATACTTTAGAATCCGGCCTGTAGATCTCGAAGCTGAACGTCTACTGTGTCTTTCATCCCGTTAAGCCACACTCTGTTGAAAACTGTCTCGGTACTAACAGTAGTGTGGTGCCCCTGTAGTCTTCATATTTACTCAGATCCCTTTTTTGGTATCTTGACGAGATATCCTTCTTTTCAGTCCATCAGTACTTGTTCTCCCTTCCAAATGTTCTCCCAAAGAACGTGAAGCATGACTTACCAAAGAAAGAAGTAAAGTAGCCTTGTACAAGCTCTATTTTCGAACAGAGCTTATAGTGAACAACCATCGCACACGATAGACTGAAGTGGAGTTCATCTGAGTTGTTTGTTTCCAACAGTTTCATTCAACCTTTTGTAGATATCCTTTTAAAGACAGCGTTCCCATTGTCTAACTTTTCTGGAATTGATCTCCTACAAGGCTATCCACATGTTCACTTCGAATAAATAAATAATATAGTCCGATTTGGCAAGAATGGTGAAAAAAATCAGAGTCCTCTGACTACCTTAAGTAACAATTCAATTATGTTTAGGATGTGATTCTCTCCCACTAAACAAAAACATTGCTTCAGGACTGCCCTATGTCAGTACCGTAATTAATGATATAGATTGAAGTGATGGAGTTCGTCAGTTTTTTCAGTTATTTTAGAAATCTGATTAGTTCTATTAGGCCAGTGTCTGGCGAATTCTCGGTGTGGATTTGGATACCTCGGCTTAGTTTTGCGATGTATGCAAGGTATCTGTCACCCAACAAAGGATGAATTTACTGCTCAGAATTCTGTCGTTTTACATTATAGCTATGAAACAAGATTTTTAAGAAATGAAGATATATGTGGGTTATTACACTCAAAGAGACCTTCGAAGTTTTGATCACGTAAGTTAGGATTACTTGGTGATAAATGCTGAGATCAGACTAGGTATTAGGTAAGTATAAAGAATCATCGTATGTCGAAACACCACCTACCTGGATCTATTATAATGGCCAGCGTAGGGGTAAGTTGGAGACAACTAGTGGCTGTTCGTGAAGTCATTGACTTTTGGGATGAGAAATGATATTTAGGTGGAGGTTACCTGGTTAATTTCATCTCCGTTATCACGTACAATCGTTAGAGACTTTGGTTGACATGGGTTGTAATATTTCACAATGCTGCATATGTATTAAGTTTTTGTTTCCCTTGTAAACATAAGTTTCACAATCAACCTAAAAATTCATTTATATCACGCCAATCCAATTCTTGATATATATATTCGATACTTAATATTTGCTACTACCACTAGTTCTGTTATTACTGACACTATTCTGGTAACTCGTTATACAAATGTGGTGTAGTAACTTGGACTAATACACATATGATAGATGCTTCGTTATGTATGACTGACTGAGATGCGTTTCACTATAAATATAACTGATAAATACTGAGTGGTAATGAGAATAATTTAATTGATTTATAAGTAAACACAGTTTTAAACTTTCTTCTAAAATTCAAATGAAATGAAGTTTATTCACAACCGGTTATATCACAACCATTACTGTTTATCACAACCAAATTAAAGTTCTCAAATATTCTTTAATGAATAAATAAGAGAATAATATTTTTGTTTGATTTATCCATCAATTGTTCAATAATGATTACGATCCATATGACGTTTATGTGCCCATAAATTCCAAAATTGTCGTCCATAATAACTTCCAGCTGGAACAACATCTGGTTCAGTTTTTCTACTACAATCTTGTGTACAACGACGTGCATATAATTTGCCTTCACAACACCATCCTGGTGGACAATCATAATCAGCTACACATAAATTTCGATAAGATCCAACAATTTTATTTCTAGCATTTCTAAGTTGACATTGTACTATCATTTGAAATAAAAATAAAAAATTCAAAATAAGAATTCTTTTAAAAAAATCATATAATATATATATATATATATATATATATATTTAAGGAACATTTATAGATAATCTTAATATATTACTTAAATAAATCAGTTATATGATCATCAATGTAGAATATATCACAAAACAATATTTTTTACATACATATGGCAACTATACAAATAATAAATATCATACATTGATAGATCATTTATTGAAATATAGATTGGTTCTTCATAGAATAATAAGTTCTTTAAGGAGATGTATGTTATTCATAAAGTGAACAAATCATGTTCACTACTATTCATTGAATTAATATTGATAAAAGACATTTATATTAAATTATTAAGGTCCATATCTATATGTTTTATTGTACATCAAACAAAGGTTAAGCAGAGTGGAAATTTGTAGGTTACTAAGGAAAATCTATTTAAACAAGTTTCAATGTTAAATGATTTCTTGATTCATTTGAAATCATTTCAAAAAGATTTAGTGAATCATAAACTTTGATAAAAGTCTATACAGAGACTAACTACTTTATAATTTGTACAATAAGTGTATTTAAACAAAATGAAAATAACTTTTCTGAAATGAAAGTTTTACCTTTTTTAAAAAAAAAATAAACCGAGATATTTAATTAGAGATATGATGAAGCATTTAAAAAGTGACCTCAAAGTGACATCTACACTTTACAAGTTATACAAGTTTAAATATTTCCTACAAGAGAATATCGGTTAAGTCAAAAAAATTGCTAATATCGCTTTATGTATGATAAATATTCAATTTTAAAAAAGATGATTAGCTAATGAATATTTAAAACGAAAGAAAAAATGTATCTTAGATACTAATCATTTGGAAAACAGTAATATATGTGCAGTTACAATCACTTACTTTGTCGACTCTAAGTAATTAGTAAAGTGAGTAAATAATAATAATTATTATTATTATTATACTTATTTTAATCGTAGAAGAAATACACCCTCCTAACGGTGGTGATGATAACAGCTTATGTTTCGATTATTTTTAAGAAAAATGAAACAGATTTCTAAGCATATTAAAATTAAGTACTATCCTTATTTAACTGTAGAAAACGAAACGTACTTTTGAATAAGTTACCCTTAGTTATAAAATAACTGGAATTTGAAGTAATATTTAGTCCATTAACAATTAGACTATTATAACAAACGAATACAATATAAAGTAATTGAACTAAATATAAGAATGTATATTAAATCAACCGACTAAAATAATCTAACTAAAAATACAAAGTATACTGAATGAATCGGTTTAATCTGTAGTTGAAATTTTAATACCAAATATTATGAAATGATTAACATTTCTGAAAATAAACAAATAATTTACAAGGGTTAAAAGTTTTCCGAATTTAGATCATAAAACTGAATATGATTAAATGAAATTCATTGAAAATAAAACTTCAATATGTATATTATTGAAATAAGTACATTTATTAATGAAATGAGTGAAGCTGATTTGAAATATTTTTTTGATTGATATCATGAACCGGGATTCGAACCCACGAGCGGTATTGTGGATGCACATTGCTGAGAAGTCTCATAATAGGAAGTAACAGCCATTCAGTGCTTCCAGGTTTTCAATGGTGGTCTATCATCAATCGGTTCATGATGTTAATGAAAAACTTAATAATCTCAACAACCCTGTACTGATGCTTTGAAATAGTTGATATACGAGAAACAATCCTTATGTTGATATTGTTGAATGTTCTCATATAATCTTTTGACTTTACATTAAATAAACATTCTTACACAATAAGCAATCGTGAGTAATTTTAATGTTAAACATAACAATATCAAAATTTCCATTTCTTAATGAACACTTTCGATTTAACATGGTAGGAGTATAAGAAAATCATGTTTATCATATTTCGATATATGTAAAACATGTTAATAGTTTTGAACAATACTTAGAGTGTTACTATAGATTCAGTATATGATTTATTAACAATACCAGCATAACATTTAAATGAGTTACATTACAAGTTGAAACTAACAAAAAGATATAACAGCTATGAGTATCGACTGTATCTAAATCAAAAGATGCATTTTCAATGCATAGATATTATTATTTTGCACTAATTATAACATGACAAAGCTCAGTGAATAGTTCTGAACATTTTCATTTGTTACGATAAAAACATAATGCTTCAGCAGTATCATGGGAGAAACTGACAATATACTTAAGAGAATTATTTCATAAAACAATGCAAAGATTTATTTCGGGTTTTAGAATTTTCAACTGATATCAACTCTTGATGAAAGCCGTCCACAAGAAAGCTACTTATTTCGTAACAATATTGCTAGTTTATGTAATCAAAGTTTTTATTTATATGAAGTCCTAAATATTTCATCTGCCATACAAACATTCTTTAGAAAGCTATAAAATTAAAAATGTGTTCTGTAAACCGGTGGTTCGTTTATTCGGCTTTCACCATTATTAGTGATAATACCTGGTCGTCAAATTGCAGTAGGCCTTTCCTAAGTCAAATCTGCAGCCTCATTGTTTTAGGGACTAGTCTACCACTTGGCACATCAATACTCATGTAATTAAATTACATTATTACATAATCTAACTTCATGAGATACTCATAATGAATTATTTATGCTACCAATATAATAAAATACTTAATCTTACTTACAATCAGGGCTGCATTCATACTCTTCACAACAATTGAAATCATCCATGCATTCCTCTCCTTCCATACCACACTAAAATGTAGGAAGTTAAATAAAAAAAATGGTCATATATTACTCTCATTTATCTGTTATAATGTTATTCTCGTAATCTGATATCAGTGTTAACAGTGCTAGAGCAACCATTGCTCATAAAAACGAATACCATGCAAATAAATGGCGTCTGTAGACTAATTATTTTGTTTAATAAATAAATTCCACCGAATAACCAAACTATATACTGTTTTATCATTTTAAAAAGTGTTATCTCAAAAAACAATCAAATTTAAAGACGCACCGGATGGATAGTACAATAACTTTGGGACTCTTTTACGGTCTGTTATTGTTTATATTTCTCTGTATGAGTAACTAATAGCTAGATTATTACGTTCATGTATTTCCCTTATTTTAGGTTACCAATGAACCTTTAACTGAAGGTGGGGAGAGTCAGCTCTCCCTCTCCAAACGCTCTCACATAGCCAAGCGTATACAGTCACTGCCAGGGAAGTCCAGCTCACTGCCTTTTCGTGACGGGGGTGTTTATTACGAAGGTGAATGTCCTGCGCTTAAACATGATTGGCGAACACGGAGGATCCACCTAGGGGGGTTAGAAAACCTTTATTCCAAACCAATGGTACGCATGAGATCCATGATCTTGAAGGGAAAAAATGGCGTATGAGCGGTGGGACTGTAACCCCTGACGTTGCTCGATTGCCTTGGTTATTAGACCTTTAGGTCGAAGGCTCCTGGTGTGGCACCCTAAGAAAACCATCTGCTTCGATCTGGGCACCCACACATAAATGAAGTGATATGTGTGGCGCATATGTGTTCGGTGTCCCTTTGTGCCAATATTTATCTATTCAAATAGTAAATAATAGTAATAACAACTCGGACTACAGGATAGTGCTGCAAAATTTTAATTAGTTCATTTATTTTGAGCTCTGGAAATGTAGGCTAGCGAAGGTAAATACAAATAAAAGTAATCATGAATTATTTCCCTCACAAGGTACAATAGATGTTTGACAAAGTGAAGCCTAATTAAGATCCCTATATAAAACTTAAATCACTGAACTTAATGAATGATAACTATATATCTTTATGCTATATTCTACTTTAAAATATGCCCTGAGTTGCTACAACATAAGCAAAAGATAACTGCTAAATGAATTGACATATATATGACATATTTCAGACTATATCAATCGATAATCTTGTATGTTTGTAACTGAAAAATCTCTTCATTTTTGAGATTCAAATATTAATAGCCCAAAATATAACCATATTATTTTAGTGTACGAATTTTGTAAGTAACTAGGTGATTATTGTTCATTATATCACTATTTCTGTGTTATATTTCTATGGAATAATAGCTGTTTTGATGGCTACATTCATTTTAGTGTGGTATTCTGCTGTACAGAAATATATCGAATAAATACTTGGAACATAATTACCTACTCTATCGGAATGTAATCGAATCATATAACGCTACAACAACAACAACAACAACTACTACTACTACTACTATTGTAAAATGGCATTACTAGTTCATTCATTGATGTTCGTGCTGATACAGTAATCTAGCTTATACAAATAGAATGATTAAATAGATACTTATCTAACTCAACGTCAGTGTCAATCCTTGATAGATACACGCTAGCATCTTATGCAGTCTATGAATTTACTTGTGTTTCGAAATGCATGAGAAAATTCAGTCACAGCTTTTTTAAGCGAACATTTATAGTCTTCTAAAGTACTTCAGATATTCCTAAAGTGATTTGAAGTTTCATATTTTCGTTTTCAGTCCTAAAATTAACTTTGTGGTTATGCATTCATTAACAACACATATTAAGTTGAAAACAGAAATGCATCTAAAAGATCCTATATCATTTCTTCATAACTAAATTTAATATAAGTTCACTTGGTGTTGTTTCACTTGTATCTTCCCATTGTTATTTAGGACTGCAATTGATCAGTCTCATGTTGGCATATATGCATCCAGTGCGGATCGCCTCTATATAGCCTTAAGTCACAAGCTTTTTAAGCAATGATGGATAGTGGCTAGCAGTGGAATCCAGAACGCGCGTTTCATCCTATTTGGGACTCGTCAGTTGGATATACCTGCATCGCAGAGTTGATGTTCACTTCGGGACACCAAATATATATATATATATATATATATATATATATATACATCAAAGTGAGTTCTGATAATCTCACGTATAATGAAACTTTAATAACGAAAAAAGAATCTTGTAGTAAGTATAAACATTTTTACTGATAAATAGAATGATTCTACTTCGTAATAGAATATAATAAAGTAACATATTAAGCATTTACACTGTTTGAACACTAAATAATCGTTAATGTATCATTTATTCAGTCGTCAATCTTGTCTTAATTCTATGGAACAGCTGACTGACACTTCTGGCTGTGATAATAGGCGACACCGGTTCTAGTTTCACGAGGAAATCCACTTGGTTAATGATTGGTAGATACACTTGGATGAGGAACGACAGCTATGGAAAAAGCTAAGTTCACCCTTACTGATTGTTTATAACCAACTTATGTCAAAATTAAGTTATTTGACTAGTTGAGCGATCCCAATCAATGTAGAAAAGTATATGTATTAAAACTGCTCGTGATGTTTAGCAACTTTGAAGAAATAACGAAATTGTCTATCTCTGGAATAAAGCAACTTCACTTTAAGCTGTGTGACATTTAATGAAAACAACCATGTTCGTTAAGATTGTAATGTCATCCCAATTCATCAACTCGTTGATAATACAGGAAAATATTCCTTTTCTTAGTAGGTATTTTAAAATATTTTAAAAATCCCGTTATAGTTCTTCTCCAATCCAATATTAAATGGACTGCTTATGATGATATGACAAAATCGACAAAAAGTTGACAAATTGGCTTAAATATTAAGGTCTAAAGGAAAAAACAAACTAAATAAATACTTACCAGTCTTGTTACTGCTTTCACGCCCAAGTTTTTATCATAATCCTTTGTTCTTGTCCTTGCCTCGATGACAATGATGAGACAAATGTAACACAAAAATGTACAAGTGTAATATTTTAGCATATGAACTAAATACTATTTCTCCTAAAAACAACAGATTATTGTACTAGATACTAAAATCTAAGTTTTGTTAGTCAAAATAAATTAAACTGAGTTTATAGTTGACAAAGTTAATGCGTAAGTGTTATAGGAACGAAATGAGGGCGGAGAAATATACTCTTCATTTTATATGTATATATATGAGTACACAAAAAAATACAAACTAACAGTGATTCAAGGAAACATTTTTCAGATTTCAGATGGTCAAATACAACCACTCAAATTCCAATGGCCCAATCAGATTATACAGAAAGTTTTCATTCCCCACTGTAGATGTAGTTATGCATCTATATACAAAATAGGATACGATAAATGACAAAATTTTATATACAAAAATAAAGTTTGAAAATATTGATTAATTTTCGCTTCTAGGACATTTACATATAAATATACTTGATTCTAATATGTAACATCTTGTAAAGAACTGAATAATGAACAGTGATATGACTAGAAAAGAAGAAAGAATTTCATGTAAATTTAACTCTCATCCTTGTATATTTCATGATAGTCAGAATCGAATGTTATAGGTAAGGAGTCATCTGTTCAAAGGTGTTCAGCTAAGAGGATCAAGCGGAAAAATGGTCAACGTAGATTCGATCTCGAATAAAGTGTTATTTTCCAGCGAATTGCTCATGAATAATAATAAAACACTACCAAGTCAGTTAGTTAGGTTTTTATAGTGTATTCTTTGATTAACATGATCTGTTAAATTCAGATATTATACTATGACCGAGATATAATAATGATTCTTATAATTTAAAACAACTCATTTATGAAGTCTAAGACGTTTAGGAAGAATATCAGTCAGTACTTTTAGTGTATCGTTCCGCATACAACGAAAACTTATCAAATCCAAAACTATTTGACAAATCCCAAGTGGAAGAATTTGAAAGTATAAATCCACTAACTGAACGGTTGAATGTATTAAGGAGTTAAGGAATGGAATACTTTTATGCAAGGTACTTGGACATGTTAATCTAACTTATAAAACAATGATTTACTAATCGACAATGAAAGTGAAAACTTTCATTTCTCTTTGTCACTGTAAATTCATTACACTGTTTAAACGTTTTTCTGCTAAAAACCTCTTATTTCTCTTTTTATTACATAATATCAATATTTTAGGTATAAATAATCATCCCCTTAAAAATGATCTTTACTTGTACTATGAGTCTAGAAATAAATTGTGAGTGATACATTTTCTACCAGACTAAAACGTATTCATTTCAATCTACTGAAATGAAAGCATGATGAAGTTAAGACATTCTGATCAAACAGTAATTTTCTAGCAGTATGGGTTTGTGGAGATTATTAAGTTTTTAATTGACATCATAAACCGATTGGTGTTAGACCACCATTGAAGTCCTGGAAGCACTGGATGGCCGATTCGTCCTGTTGTGGGACTTCTCAGCAGTACACACCCACGATCCCGCCAGCGGGATTCAAACCTAGGGCCTGCGGTTCTATGCGCGAACACTTAACCTCTGGACCACCGAGCCAGCATCCAAAGGTGTTAATGTCTAACTTTAACCAATCCACGAAATTGCGCGACCATTTTTCATTGTACCTGTCTCTACCCGATACGGAATACCATTAGCTTTAAATTTTCGAATAAATACTGGAGTTGGATAGCACGAGTTATAAGTATTACGCATAAGTTAACACTAAAACATTTTAAATGTCTAAACAGAACAGTTTAACAGGAACGACATTCAAGTGTAGTATTATTGACTTCCTACTAACTACAACAAATTCTGATTTAGATGTCTTAAAAATATTTGATCCAGTCAGATAGTCCATCAGTTTATCTTGTGCTTGCTATTTTCTATGTAGATATTGGATTTCTTATTTCGGCACTAGAATTCAACTCTTTGGACATTTGATGTGGAAGTTTTCTATAGCATTTTTTATTATATTGTAATTATTTTATTCGGAGACAATTATATGAGAGTAGCCACTTTGTAGTCGTAAGAGATTTTCTCCGCATATCAAGTATTCTCTCCATTGAGTTGGCTAGGATTTAAAAATTAAAATCGGTTACGATTTGATTTATATCCAACAATGCATGATGAACTTCGGTTATTACACTGGTGTCATCAAGATAAAATTATTATTGATTCATACCCTTTATTGACTGTTTAAATCCAACGTGACATGGGTATCCATTTAATTCTACTGGTTGCTGGTAAAGCTTAAATAAAATCTACTGAAAGTCGGTAATTGTTTGACTAATATAATGACATTGTTATTTACTACTGCACTGTGATGGGCATTTACATCAATCACCTGGATCTACTCACTGATGTTTTGTGACGGGAAGCAATTAGTCTAAACCACAGAGCATCCTAAACATGTAACATAAGTGAAAAGGTTTTATTCTAAAACTTTCTTCTATATGAATTATTTTACTAATAATTTTTTGAGATTAGAATAATTGTCTACAGTCTATCAATGAAAAAGCATCATATCTGTCATTTTTTCGTTACATCAATTTGTGCTTCTCCTCTGAATCTGACTTAAATTTGTTTGCACCTCTAAATATATTTCATTCCACTTGTGAAATTATAGGTAAATGAAATGTTTTACAATCATTACTACTGAGCATACTGATTGAACTTTCCCTCCTGTCGATATATTATATTTACACTATCCAAATGAAACTTTCATTAAAATAATATCTTACCCAAACATTAGATTATAAGACAACCTGAAGCATTTATAAATGTATACATATCACAGTTATCATTAGTATTGCTGCTCTATGCTCTCTGTTTCTGTTTTCCTTTCTCTAGCTGTAGATAATATTAGTTATTCTATCATAGGACTAGAAATGACCCTAAATACACGGTTCGTACATCAACAGGATGTTCTAGTCTCCTTACAAATAATTAATAGTTTCCAACTGATGCCGCACACTGTCGAAATCCATGAGAAGAATGTACGTTCAATGTACATCAAGTTTTTGAACTGTAACACATCAAGCAGTCTAAAATCTTATGTCTGTCCTTTGCATGCAACGTTGCCATCTGTATCAACTTCATCATGCTTGTTAACCAGTATAAATTACGTAATTATTTTCAGAATATATATTTAGTTATTTTAAAAAAACTATAAAAGATGGGCCTTTTGTTTTTAGTTGGTTTTGCAAACAATAATCAATATTTATGAGTTAGTTTAGTTCCAATATCATGCATAATCTAACGTACACAAGAAACCAACATATTTGCTTGTAGATTCCTTCGACTTAATGCCTAACTCATAATTATATAATCATCATAGAAACCAAGAATATATCTTGTTATTCAAAAGGTGAACACTCGAAATAATATAGTTTTTACAGATTTCTACTATGTTTGGATTAGTGAAATGTCGTAACAACCATACACAAAAAATTTGTATCCTTTTCGGCACCACATCCAAGCATGTCTTCCAAGTAAATCAGTGCAAAATCTACTTGTAAAAAAAGGCAATTCAGGTTGTTAAATGTCAATAAATATTTTTTTTATGTTTTCACATCATATAACTCTGGTAAAGTCCTAAATGACTTATTCATCTACCATTTAAGGTTAATATAGTTTCATATAAAACAAACATTTCTCAAAATTATTTGTAGTCAGAACTGACAAGTTCAAAATTTAAGTGAGTTATTCTGACATTTTGAAAACACGGTCAAAACCTTAGTTAATCCTTCTTTTTCCATTCATGACAATTCACAAATGCCTAGAAGTCCAAACAAATCCACTGTTGTGAAAATTGAATACTTATGACTGAGCACCACTACTATGTGTTTATGAGCAGGTCAACAGGCATGGAGTGGATACATACTTAAATGATAGACATATTTCAGATACAGGTCAGAAGTTATATGAGTCTACTTCAGACCTAAAATAAGCTTATCAAATTATTAAAGACTTAAACTTAGGTTATAATTTATATGACTGAAAACCAGTTGAAGCTACAGTTTTTAATCTCCATTTAGTATTAAGAAAGCATATTGCGGTAGTACAGAAAAAAACTCAGAAATATTAATCGCCTCATTATCGCTAGCTAACTTCAATTTGTAGAATAATGTTTTAATAAGGTAACTATCATTTATTTTCTTACGTATATATATATATATATATATATATATATATATATATATATATATATATATATATATATATATATATATATATATATATATATATATATATATATATATATATATATATATATATATATATATATATATTGTTTGCTTGAATCTATAAAGACTAACATTGATGGTAGTATGAATTCCGCGTTTGGAAACATTTATGCCTAATTCTCATCCAAAGGCCGCTGCTTTCAGTAACCTACATTTGGGAATAACAAAATTGTATCGGCTGTTATGTCACACATTCATGTAACTGCTATGTATATCTGTTCCGTAAATCGATATTATTTAAATCTTTAATAAAACCAGGTTATGGATAGCAGTATGATTCAGAACGTGGGACTCAGTGAATGGATATAACCGCACCTTGATGTTAGTGTTTGAAGTGAGAATCAGACATAGTGTTTTCTCTTCTAATGCAAACACGTTATCAATTAGGCTTCTGATTCTAAAAGCCCACCAACGTGTAAATAAAATCTATATCGAGAAAATTCATCCACGATTCCTATAGTTCAACAGAGACTGATTGATTGTTGTCTTTATTATCAACAATGTAAAAATCCCAACCATTACGTACGACACTTCAGTCTTTTTAAATATTTTGGTACATAATTCAGGTTGTAATAGCTAATAACATGATTTTAAGCAAAAATCTATGTAAACTGATGAAAAAACTGTCCTTCACCTCATAAGAAATATTGTCTTCGATATGCAAATTATAAATTTATTAGAATAAATAAGTAGACAAAACGTGCCAAACCATAAAACTTATATTAATTATCTAATCATTGAAGGATTGGATTCTAAGATCAATATTACTTACATATAATATGATAAACTATAATGACAGCAAATATATGTAATCATTAAATTTACAAATCTCAGTATGTCGAAAACGGATTTGTAAGATTATGCCATACGTTAATGATCTTAAGTATTTTTTAACCAGTTTTTACTACTTGAATCATCTATCCGTTCATTTTATTGACAGCTCATTTTATGAACCTCATGTTTATAAAACGAATGATTTGACTAAAATGCAATCGCGTTTAACTCCGCCTGGAGCCCCTCTGAGATTACTGCCGGTCCCAAGCCCAGATAAGGGGGGAGGGATGGATATGGGGTTAGCGACCTAATCTCATAGAAAACTGACTCGCTTAAA